ACTAACAATCACAAATATTAGGAAGAACATAGGAAGCATCGCAGGAATCATAATAAGCATATGTGATATTATAATCTTTTCCCTAAACATGATACTAGGAATATCATAATAACAATATAAACATGATTTCCACATCATAATATCAATTAAAACCATTAAGGCACTTACTTTGATGCCTCGTACCTCTTTCTAATAACAAAATACACACTTTAGTAACTTCAAGGAAAATAAATTAAATAAACAACAATTAAATTAAATAATTGAAAGACAGATTTGGGACCAAACCCTCAGAAATTAAACCTTTCACGTCTAGGGCGAAGGCAACTTCGAATATGGCTAGGTGTTTCTAAATCTAATGAATGCGGAATTTTGTATGTAAAAGACTAGTTTTTAGAAAAAGAGAAAGAGAGAGATGGATGAATGAATGATCAAGAAAACTTGATGAGAAAAGAGAATGAGAGACTTAACGATTGCGAATGAAAACTGATTCTAGGTCAATATTAATTAAAACCGATTGTTGATGAGAATTGGTGAATGAAAACTGGTTTTAAAATAAGACATGATGAAATCTGGTTATCAAAAACGGAGTTTTTAATACGTTATTTATAGAAAAATCAGCCAAAAAGATAAAATTAACAAAAAAGAGTCTGGCGCACGCAAAACGAGATTGGCGCCAGCCATTGGCGCCAACGTCAGCGCCAGGCGCCAATCTGGTTTTTGACACGTTTTCTAAAATCTGATAAATTTTGCCGAACAGGAGGATAAAATCGTATATTTTCCTCAAAAATGCTCTTTGATTTTAATTAAAACTCTGAAAAGTCAACAAAAGTCAATTTATCAATGCTAATTGAATTAGGAATGAAAAGAACCTTCTAGAAGAATTTAGAAGACTAAAACCATTCCTAATTGCATTAGAAATGATAAATCATATTAGGCCCTCCCCTAGATCATTGGGCCGCATATAAGGTTCAAATCGGGCCCAGTTTAGTAAATTGGCCATAATTTCTTCAATATTCATCGGAATTGAGCTTTTAATACATCGTTGGAAAGCTCTTCTCAAGCCCCATCCAACTACACTATTATTGGACCCATATCATGGACCAACCAAACTGGGTTGGCTGTTTTCTTAAAATAAGTTTTCAAAAACAGAGAGAAAAGAAAAGAAATTAAAACTATCCGCAACACTAAACTTTCCACACTTTCGCTTTATTCGATTATGATTCGACGCGAAAGGCACTCATCACCGGGTTTGATTTTGGGGAGACACAAATGGGTGTCTATAGAAGCCCCCACTTTGACTAAGTTTGGAGAAACGCAAGTTTCGAAAACAAAAGTCAAAGTAACGATAGGGACGGAGAATGATTCAGAACGTTGTGCGTACCTAAACAACTCTTGTAACGCCGATACCTGCAAACTAACGTTAGTTAAATAGATAAAAGAGTTAAGAAATGCGTATCTTGCACCGTCGAGCACACGTCTCTGAAAGTAACCGATTGTTGCCGCATTGCTATTGTATCCTTTTTTTGATGACCTCCTACAAGCTAGAGAATGCCATCCCGCTTGAAAACCGCTACGCCTGTAACTGCTTCCAAATTAGAAGATTGCTTCGCCTGAAACGATCCTCCTCCTCTTTGATAATATTCCACATCCAAGGGAATACTATCGAAGATTGCTTCTCTTGAAACAATCCTTAGTTGTTTATGACAACTCTCCACAATCTAGGGAACGCCACCTTGCTGTTTCGATGTTCATTCATCTCTGAACAAAGAGCTTCTTTTTTGATATGTTCACGCGTCTCTGAACAAAGAGCTTCTTTTTTATATGTTCCAATTTCCGTTGTGATAGTCTTCGAAAAGATCACTGCTTTTTAATCCTTAATGCTGCTATGCCAGTACGTCGGCGCTTTGTTGCTTGTGAACCAGTATGTCGGCAATCCTCTTTTATTTGGGAATAGTTGTCAAAACAACCCTTGTATGATGTATGACAATCCGATTCAGGGAAAGTTGTCAATGCCACGTAACAATCCATCCTTGGAAATTTTGCCACGATGAAGCGACAATCCGTACCTCGGAAATTTTGCCAAAATCCAATTTTTGGAAAAGTTGCCAATTCTTCGTAACAATCTTTCATAAGAACTTTGCTACGATCGACAATCCATGTCTTGGAATATAACTCCTGAAAGCAATCCACCTTGGAAATTTGCCAACACTATGCGACAATCCTTTTGGGAAAATATCGCCACAATAGACAATCCGCGTCTTGGAACATTTGCAAAAAAAAGAGTCGATCGACAATCCACTTCGGGAAAATTTCCCACTTACTGAAATGAATGACAATCCACGTTGAGGAACTTTGTTGAAATTTATGATGAATAGAGACCTACAACATCCTTTGGGAAATTTTTCCAACGAGCCGATGAATGTATGACAATCAGAACTTGGAAAAACTTGCCAATAAAGAAGGAGCACGACAATCCACGCTTGGAAACTTTGCCAGAGATGACAATCCAATCTTAGAAAATGTGTCGTTTAAGAAGAATGCGCGACAATCCATATTTGGAAATATTGTCGTATAAGTGCTTACTTTTAAACCGATTGTAATGAGCCAGTGTTTTAGGCGCTTAAGCTAAGTGAGACGATCTTTCATCAGGTCGACCACTTATTGTGATTGTAATCGAGCCGACTACTAATCAAGTCAAATTGCTTATAGAGGCTAACTGGCGTACCAAGGAACCCGAAATGGTTGTGTGAGGTCGAAATCACCTTTCTGAAAGGCTTCGAGCTCTGTCGCTGCTGAAATATCTCTGGAGCCAAGAATTGAAGTACGGTCTTCCCTGTTCTGCTGCACCTGTATTTATTTTAGACTATAGAACTTTGCCAATCTCTTTAACCATCTTAGGGTTGACCTAAGTTTTAATGTTGCTCGACTTATCGACTTGACACGACTCAAGGTATAAACTTGACTCGATATGATTGAATGACTCTAGGTTGACTCGACTCGAAGTGTAATGACATGTGTGACTCAAATAAAAGTGATATGACATGACTTAATGTGTACATGACTCATGTGCATTGTAATGTGATCGTGCGACTCGAAAATGCCAAAAAAGCAAAAATTTTCCATCATTTTTGTGGAGGGTACCGACTTTCTCCCAAAAAAGAAAGACGTGAAAAGGAATCGAAGTGTTGAAATGCATGTTGAATGAGCTTAGTCAAATGTTGTTTGATACTATCTCTGAAGGTTTAAGGATTAACCCATCCTAGGCTATCTCAATGGTTGACTCAATGATGAAAGCATTTGGGTAACTTAGGCACGGAGGCTAAGCACTTCATACTTCGTGATGCAATGACAATTATGATTGATGAGCGATTTTGATATGATAAGGCATGCTTCAATGTTATGATTTCATGACAAAGGGTTCCTAAGGGAAATACATTTGGTCATGTATGTGTGATGTGTGTGATAGTGACACTTAAAGTTAGGCCATAAGAGCTAAGTGTGTGGAGAGATATTATTTGCTAAAAGAGTCAAATGGTGGTGACTCTTAGGCTAGGTAAGCTAATGATGTAGGGATCAAGCCCCCAAGTCTAGCTCTAAATGAATAGGGATGAGCATAGGATATCCCTTGATATGATCAATTATGAATGTAAATATGAATGCATGTTTATTACGGCCGCACCTCGATGTGAGGTTGCCTACGTATCCGTTAGGAATCAGGCCGAACGTAGCTCTAGCCGAACCTCGCACAAGTGTGTGTATACCTCAAAAAGGTCCTTTTAAGGGTTGTAACGTGGTTAGGCTAAAGGTTGAAGAAGAAGGGGATAAAAGGCTCAAGACCCTAGATAAGCCCCAAGGTGTGCAACTTTGCTTTTGGAATATTTATATTTTTATGCTTGAGGATTTTAACTCTTTTTTAGCTCTTTTTTTTGCTTTATTTTATTTTATTTTTTCAAGTATAAGCAATCCCGATCATGCGGTCTATCACTCACTTGGCATTCATGTTTCTCAGGCACGGTACAGAGCACTCGATAAGAGACGCAATCTGAGACGTGTTCTTATCGAAGATATTTTCATATCAAAGACATTGGAACACTTGCCCTTTGTACACTTTTATTTGTTTTTTGCTTTTGCTTATTTCTGCAATTTTAATTTTTTGAATCACTCAAGCCTTTTTTTTTAGAATTGCATAAGTTGCACACCATCCCATCCCAAGGTTAGGTAAATGTAGGTTGAAAAAAGAAAGGTCTATCGTTAGACGAGGCTCAAAGTGGTTTACCAAAAAAAAGATGTATAATTAAAGGGTGAAAGGTAATATAATGTGGCTACAAGGGGTGCCTTAAATCATTGGTATGCCTTGTGCTTAATTCGACATGGATTTTTATTTTTAATTTTATATTTAATGCAATATAATGAAATGATCATATATAAGGAAATAAATGCTCATTTTATTAAAAGGGGAAAAACTACAAAATTAATCTATAGGAAAAGAAAAGGTGCCTATGCTAGGCTTATTGGGGAATGGAAAAAATAAAAAATAAATAGAAAAAGAGGTCATGAAATCTTGTCGTTGAAGCTCGCCTCTGTCTTGTGTTGTTTGCTCCGACATCATCCAGTCTTCTCGCTAGCTAGAGGCAATGGGATCACTTGTGGAAAAAATCTTATTTGTAACAAGCTATTCGTAACGGACATATGATTTTTTGTTACAATTAAGTTATTCGTAACGGGCAAATTCAATGTCCGTTACAAAAAAGTTGTGAATTGGGCAAGAAAAGGGTTATTCATAACGGACAAATTAGTGCCCGTTACGAATAAGTGGTTATTCGTAACGGACAGATTGGTGCCCGTTACGAATAAGTTGTTATTTGTAACAGGCATTATTCTGCCCGTTACGATTAACTAACTAATCGTAACCAACAAATATTGCCCGTTACAAATAGAAAAGTCAACAGAATTTTGACCTTGTTATTTGTAACTAACATGGGGTGTCCGTTACGAATAAGGTTTTAAAGTAAGCCCTAAATTTTTACTTTCCCCTTTCTCACTCCCCTCTGCCAAAAAATTTCCACTTTTCTCTCTCTAATATTGAAGCAGCTCCCGCGCGCAAGGTCGTCGTCCTCACCTCCCTCAACTCCATTGAAGGAGCTCCAAGCTCAGTTCAATCTTTTGCTCCTCTCATTCTCACTCTTCTCCTCCATTGAAGCGCACTTTGAGTTCTCCATTATTGAAGCGCACTCCGAGTTCTCCATTATTGAAGCGCACTCCGAGTTCTCCATTGAAGGGCTTTTTGAGTTCTCCATTGAAGCGCTATCTGAGTTCTCCATTGAAGCGCTCATAGTTCTCCATTAAAGCGTACTCTTTCTCTCTCCTCCCCCAATTTTGTAACCCTTGTTTCAGTTTGCTTAATTGCAATTACTTAATTATAGGTTTTATTTTTTTTCCCCAAATTAATTGATTGATTTTACTATTTTCCATTTGCTTAATTGCAATTACTTAATTATAGGTTTTATTTTTTTCCCCAAATTATGCTTCTCTGATTGGTGGGTGGTGTTTGCGTGGGTTTGGTTGGAGTTGAGGTGGTGAATTGGTTGATGATTGTTGTTGTTGCGAGTGGAAACAGGGGAAGGGCGTGGTTCAGGTGGTTGCGGTTTTGTGTGGTGGTGGTAGAACAGGGGAGAATTGCGGTTATTGGTGTTGGTGGGGTGATTGGAGTTGCGGCTGGCAGTTGGTGAATTGGGGGAAAGCAGTGGTGGACTGGTGGTTTGCGTGGTGGTGGTAGTGGCTGCTGTTAAAGGTGGCTGAAGGTGGAGGTTGGTGATTTGAGTGGCTGAAGGTGGTGGTTGGTGATTTGAGTGGCTGAAGGTGGTGGTTTGCGGCTGTAGTGGTTGAGTGTGGTGGAGATGGAAGCAGGGGAGATGTGTTTTGGTTGTGTTGGTGTGTAGGGTAAGGTGAAGTGTGGTGAAGGTTTAGGGGCAGCAGCTTGTAAGACATTTTGTTGAACTTGATTGACTCGGGTCCCGAACTTCCAATGCAAACCATTTGACTTTGAAACATAAGGTTCTGGATGGGTGGTAAGTTTCAGTCTTAGAAACCTTTAGTTGAACTTTCTTCTTTTACCCCTTCTTAACTGTGTGATAATCTAAATTCATTGGAGCAGTGGCTCGGACTTGACACACAGTCGAAGAAGCTTCTTGTTGAAACCACTCCAAATCAGGTGAATGCCCAGAGGCCCCAGATTGTTTTCTTTAATTAATAGGAGGAAAGCTTAAAATTTCTTGTGTTTCTAACGTGATGTTCTTAGAAGGAAATTCCTTTGTACTCAAATTAAGACAGAGTTATACTGTGATAGTATCCTCTTTCATTTGCAAGTTGGCTGTTGGGTTTTCTAGTCTGTATGGTTGTGAATTTGTGATCACATTTTCTTAACTAGTGATGATTTATGAGTGTGTTATCATTTCCGCGTATGTAGGTTTAAAGGAAGTTGTTCAAACAGACAAGGCTCCTGCGGCATTGGGACCATATTCTCAAGCCATTAAAGCAAACAACATGCTTTGTATCTGGTGTTCTGGGTCTTGTGCCTGAGGTTTGAGTTTCAAATCTGATTATTTCCAGCTAATTTTGTCAGTTTGTGCTCTTGTAATTGTTCTTGCTTACTAATGTAAACAATACCTGTTTGAATGCAGACAGGAAATTTTATATCAGAAAATGTGGAGGAACAAACTGAGCATGTAATGAAATTTTTTGCAAACTGACATGGTAACTTAAAGATTTGTTATAACTCTACTATTAGGAAATCATTCTTTTGTACAAGTATGCTGGGGGTCTAAAAGTCTTGTAATTGTGAAGGACCCGTGATGACTCAATCACTGGACAGTAGATGGATGGAATGACGGATTTATGAGTGTAATTATATATTTATATACATTTAATAAAGGAAGTTTTTCCTTGACGAGCTTGTTAATGCATCTCCTTTTTCGCCGCTAACTACTCTACTTGTGCAGCATTCTTTTGGTTAGGATGGGAGACTGGGAGGTGGGATACTGTTTGCCAAAGAAAAGTTCTTTAAACTATCTTGTGCTGATAATATATGCTTAGTAAAGGCATATCTCAATGCTCTACAACGGGTCATTTGCTTATTCCTATTAATCAATATTAGCTAAGACAAATATGATGCTCAATGAGTCAAACTGTCAAAGTGCCCATATTAAATTCGCTTCAGTGGCTGAGTAGTATCAATTTATCAAATGCTTGTCACTTGTCTGCATTGTAAACCCAAATTTTGTTTTTCTGTGCTCAATGAAATGCCTAAAACTGTAGCAAACTGCTGGATCAAAAATACTGCTTTTGATGTGAATAAGTTGGTCAGCTTTCATTTGCCATGAAGATAAACATGTTCCTTTTACAAACTGTAGTTTGATGTATGCAAGTGAGCTATTTGCAAATTGCCAATTATTTGTCAAACATGCATTTAGATTATCATTTTGAATGAACTTTTAGGCATTCTACAATTATTGTAGACCTCTAGTGTTCTTGCTTCCAGCACAGTATCGAGGTAGGGGCAGTATATGGTTCGTGAGTTTGGCATATCTAGACTTTAAACATTTATTTCAATTAGTTCTTTTAAAAAAAATCTCATATTTTGAGCCCTAAAGTGATAGAGGTGTTAATAATTCAAGTCATCTTACATTTCAGGTTCTCAAAAACATGGGTGAAATTTTGAAAGCTAGTGGGGCAACTACTCTTCTGTAGTCAAAACAACCATCATGTAAGTGCATTTGCTTCTCAAATTTCCTCCTTGAAACGCGTATTTGTATCCCTTTACTTGAAGTGCAAAGGTGTATTAGAAGAGGTTAGTAATTTTTTTTTGCAAATTTTGAAACCTTTTTAGCTCTATACGCTCCCAAGAGTAAGATAATGGTCAATTGTTATTGATTTCAATTCATAAAAACCAAAACATAAGGTAATTAAGGATGTTTAGTGTTATATTGTGTTAATTTGAACCAATACATGAAAGATAAGAAAGGTAGAAGTCCCTTGGGCAATTTTGAAGCCTTTTTGGCTCTATACGCGCCTAAAAGTGAGTAAATGGTCAATTTTCATTGATTTCAATTCATAGAAACCAAAATATAGGGTTCGTTTGGCATTGTTGCAGTTTTCAGTTTTTTGGTTTTTTGTATTTTAAAAGTGTATGATATATGTCATATAATGAATAAAAATTTAGTCAAACTTATTAAAATCATGCTAATTTTGAAAACTGACAACAGAAAAGTGAAAACACCTTTTTCTTGTTTCTTGTTTTTGGTTTTTTTGTTTTAAAAAAAACTGAAAACTCAAAACAAAAAACAATGCCAAACAAGCCCTAAGGTAATTAAGGATGTTTAGTATTATATTGTGTTAATTTGAACAAATACTTGAAAGATGGGAAAGGTAGAAGTCCCTTAGACAATTTAGAAGCGTTTTTGGCTCTATGTGCTCCCAAGAGTGAGATAGTGGCCAATTTTCATTGATTTCAATTCATAAAAACCAAAATATAAGGTAATTAAGGATGTTATGTGTTTTATTGTGTTAATTTGAACAAATACTTGAAAGATGGGATAGGTAGAAGTCCCTTAGGTAATTTTGAAGCGTTTTTGGCTCTATACGCTCCCAAGAGTGAGATAATGGTCAATTTACATTGATTTCAATTCATAGAAACCAAAATATAAGGTAATTAAGGATGTTTAGTGTTATATTATGTTAATTCACCAATACATGAAAGACGGGAAAGGTAGAAGTCCCTTAGGCAATTTTGAAGCCATTTTAGCTCTATACGCTCCTAAAAGTGAGTAAATGGTTAATTTTAATTGATTTCAATTCATAGAAACCAAAATATAAGGTAATTAAGGATGTTATGTGTTATATTATGTTAATTTGAGCAAATACTTGAAAGATGGGAAAGGTAGAAGTCCCTTAGACAATTTTGAAGCGTTTTTGGCTCTATAAGCTCCCAAGAGTGAGATAATGGTCAATTTTCATTGATTTCAATTCATAGAAACCAAAATGTAAGGTAATTAAGGATGTTAAGTATTATATTGTGTTAATTTGAACAAATACTTGAAAGATGGGAAAGGTAGAAGTCCCCTTAGGCAATTTTGAAGCCTTTTTGGCTCTATACGCTCCTAGGAGTGAGATAGTGGTCAATTTTCATTGATTTCAATTCATAGAAACCAAAAAATAAGATAATTAAGGATTTTATGTGTTACATTGTGTTAATTTGAACAAATACTTGAAAGATGGGAAAGATAGAAGTCCTTTAGCACAATTTTGAAGCCTTTTTGGCTCTATACGCTCCCAAAAGTGAGTAAATGTTAACTTTTTATTGATTTCAACTCATAGAAATCAAAATATAAGTCAATTAAGGATGTTATGTGTTTTGTTTCTATATTATGAGTTTTATTTTTATAATTTGGTTCATCACATTTATTCTAATGATTGTTTTTATTATGGATTGTTTTTATTTAACCTCTTTCATATGTTTTTTTTTTCAATAGGATTTTTGTCCAAGGACCGCCCCGTATGATGTTGACGAGTTGAATGTGGTTCGAGAACAATGGGTGCAATACTTTAGAAGTAAATATTTATTGAATGCATAACTATTAGCTTAGGTAGAACAACGTAATATTTTTAGTGTTGTTGTATATGTTGGATAAATTTATACAAATTTTTATTTGTAATGTGTTACTACTTCAGTTTTTATATTACGTTATATTAATTTTTACGAAAGATTGTTACTACTTCAGTTTTTATATTACGTCATATTAATTTTTACGAAAGATTGTTCGGTATACATGCTGTCGAAATTAAATAAAACGAAAATTTAATTTAATAATTATTTGTAACGGTCACCAAAATTGTCAGTTACAAATAACTAGTTATTCGTAACGAGCACTTTTTTTGCCCGTTACAAATAAGTGTTAAATTATATACAATAAAACTCTATTCGTAACGGACATTTAAGATGTCAGTTACGAATAATCACTTATTCGTAACGGGCGTTTTAGGTGCCCGTTACGAATAAGGACTTATTTTAATACAAAAAAAAAATTATTCGTAACTGACATTTCAGATATCCGTTACGAATAACCCCTTATTCGTAACTAACATTTAAAATGTCCGTTACGAATAATGAGTTATTCGTAACGGACATCTGAAATGTCAGTTACGAATAATGGGTTATTCGTAACGGACATCTAAAATGTCAGTTACGAATAATGGGTTATTCGTAACGGACATCTGAAATGTCAGTTACGAATAATGAGTTATTCGTAACGGACAGTGCCCGTTACGAATAACAATGGCCATCCGTAACGGCCGCATACGTAACGGACGCTGCCCGTTACGGATGACCCCTTTTTGCCCGTTACGGATGAGGATTTTTCCACTAGTGGATCTTATTTGCCTCTATGAGATCTTGAATGAGGTTTTTAGACCTGTAGCATTCATTAGTAGTATGACCGCGTCCTCGATGGTACTTGCAATAAGAGTTGGGATTCCATCTCGAAGATCGATTTTCTGGCGTTGGATCCTCGGTAGGGCCAATAGGTTTGATTAATCCTCGATCATAGAGACGATCGAAAGCAGCATCGTAGCTCATTCCAATGGGTGTGAACTCTCGCCTGGGTTTCCTTTTAGATCCTTGATTGTCCATGGCTAAGACACCATTATGGTCAAAGGTACTAACATTATTACTAGAGTGAGCGTTTTCGGAAGAAGAAGGATTGTCGTTCTTCTTTCCTTTCTAGCCACCGTGGTTACTATTGTTAGCAGCTTTTTGCTTTGCGAGGTCATCTTTGATTTCAATTCTGATGTCATAAACGACCTTGAAAGTATTCAGATTGTGTTGATATTTTTAATGCTTTGAATACTTTTCTTGGAGATTCTTGATAAACATCCTCACAGACTCCTTTTCGTTGGGGACCTCAATCATCTTGGCGGAAGTTTCTCTCCATTTATTAAAGAAAGAAGTAAAGCCTTCATTCTCTTTTTGTCTTAGCATCTCAAGTTGTCTATGGTCGGTTTCAACTTGGATATTGCACTTGTACCTATCTACGAAAGCGTTTACTATCGATTCCTAGGTAGAGGTTTTCTCCTTGTCAAGGGAGAAGAAGCATTGCTGCCAAACAGTTTCAAGAGATAGTGGGAACAGAGAGGGGAAAACCTTCTTATCGATACCCTTAATACTCATTATAGTTTCGAAAGCTCTTAGATGGAAGTAAGGGTTATCTGTTGCCTTGAATTTAGGGATGTTAGTGGCGTTGAACTTATGCGGAAGAAGTTCCTTGTCCAACGGGACCCCTTGTGAACTCATGCCCTGAAATTTATAGTCACTAGATAGCTTGCTTAGACTCTCTTGCATGAGATCCATCTGTTGTTGCTTCACGGGATCATTGATCTTAAGTGTGAGTAGCTTCAGTGTCTCAGTCACGGTAACCAATTGGTTCCTAAGCTCATTGACTTCTTCTTGACTTGCCATTATCATTTTAGCCTTCCTCTTTAGACGAATCGGTTTATCAAAAAGTGAGACTTGAATAAAGAGGTTGTCCTTGATTAATCGCCCTTCTCTCCTCGACCAAGTACTGTGGAAAAGGAATTTGGGGATATTTATTGTTAATTATTTGACTCAAACTTCATTCAACATGCAATGGATGGAGGAAGTGAAGAAAGATTGGAAAAGAATGTGAAAAAAGAAAAAGATGATGGAGGTGGAGGGATATGAAGAATTAGGAATAGAATGTACCCCCTAACTAAAATGACGGAAAAAAAACCGACTCATGCATGAACCTAAGACATGGTCATGGTGATGTGTACTCAAAGTGTGTGCTAGGACTAGTGAGTGTAGGTGACATGTTAAGACTCTTGTCATGACCATGTGGCTAGACTATGTGACTAGACTCAAGCAAAGACTAAGTTAAGACTTCACGTATATGCATTAAACTGGATATTTTAGTCATAACTTTTTATCTGTGACTCTGATTTGGATTAAACCAATGCTAAATTAAAGATAAAACTCGGGGCTACAGATCCATAGGTTGTGCGACTCGTAGTTCTTCCTAAAACTCCAGCTATGACCAAAACAAGTTGACGTTTGTGCAGTACACGGGAATAAAAATCTGGGTTGACTTAAAGGAACTATGACTCGATTTTATATTTATTTATTAGCTCAAATTAATTAATTAATTAAACAAAGTCCTTTAGTAATTAATTAGTTTATTTAGTCTTAACACAAGTCAAAGAAACGGTTAAGAAAACATAGAATATATGCACAACAAAAAATGCACAATTAGTCAAGTAGGCACAATATGTTGCAATGAGTTCGCAACCTAACCATGGCTCTAGTTCTCTAAAGTTCGGGATATGGTTTAGTCAATAGAAGGTCCATGGTTAATTGTCCAGTTGCACCGCGCGGAAGCCTAACCGTGAAGGGTTGGCGCGAATGGATGGGACACCGCGAGCTTTAGAAAAAAACTCGCTTCCATAGTTTGGTGAATTCAACATTCTCGGATGTACCCTTTGTTGCACGGAGCGTTCAATCGGGTAGATGGAGCATGAATTCCCAGAGGGTTATATCCATATGTAGAACACATATGGGTTTCAGAAAAGTGAGAAAAAATTCAATCAGGAAGTAGGATCGAGCAAACAATACGAAAAACTGGTCAAAATTAGAACGCATATTTCTGGCTCGGTATTGGGGGAAGTTGGCGCCAGCAATCAGAGACTGGCGCCAGTTTTTAACTGTAGCGCCTGGCGCCAATGCTGGCGTCTGGTGCTACGGCTAAAAGTCTGGTGCCAATGCTCTGGCCCTTGGCGCTACTTCCCACATGCCTCATCAGCTTTCTGTGCTCGATAAAATTTTCCAGTTTCGCGCGGTGTTATTTCGATCCTAGTTGTGAAAGATATTTCTCAAATTTCCTACGTATAAAATCCTATGTTTTTAACTCATTACGGATGGTCTTTCCAATTAGATCTTTTTTATGCATATGACAATAATGTTAATCAAAATTACGCACATGAAATACTTAGAACGTTTTGAGTCTCATCCACTCATTCTAAATCATTGCCGAAACGAATTCAGGAATTAAAATAGAAATCCTCCGCAGTGGAGTCGCCAAAAATTGTGGGGAATAATTTCAAGCATTAAACCCCTAGCTTGAACCCCACTGTGATCATATACTAAAGTACGGTGGCGTCCAAAAGGGAAGAAGATAGAGCAAAAGAGTCGCCAACAAGTTTTAGGAACTTGTAAACCGTTCACTGGGTGAAGGTTACACCCCTTAACGATCCAAGAGATCGTCAACTCCATAAGGTCTAGAACAAAATAAGGGTTCGGGGATGAAGGTACAAATCCAACCTAAAAGAGATTGAACCTGCCCTAATAATAGGCCTCTACTTTATTCTGATCGTATTCATGTGCGCTTTCCAATTAACATACAATCAATAAGATTAACCCTAAACCTGTTTATCTATGTTGGTTGAATTTTAATGCACAAATAAACTATTTTTGGTGATCACTTGAATTATAATCATATTAACCCTAACAAGATTATTAATCATCTTATTAAGCGTGATTACAAGTACAAATTCGCTTTAAACATGCATAAAAGGTGTGATCAAGCAATAAAATAATCAAGCAACATAATAATAATAATTATCATAACAATAATTATAATCATCAAAACAATAATCATCAAAATAACAATCATGTTAATCATAATAATAATGATAATAGCAATAATAAAATTATAATCATAATCGAAATAATTATAAAAATAATCATAAATCATGTTAAAGCATAATAAAAATAGCAAGATCATGGGCATGATACTAACAAGATTAATAACAAACCCTAGCATGTCACTAAGCAACAAAAATCAAATCTTTAACCCTAACATGGTACTAACAATAACAAATATTAGGAAGAACATAGGAAGCATCGCAGGAATCATAATAAGCATATGTGATATTATAATTTTTTCCCTAAACATGATACTAGGAATATCATAATAACAATATAAACATGATTGCTACATCATAATATCAATTAAAACCATTAAAGCACTTACTTTGATGCCTCGTACCTCTTTCTAATAACAAAATACACACGTTAGTAACTTCAAGGAAAATAAATAAACAACAATTAAATTAAATAATTGAAAGAGAGATTTGGGACCAAACCCTCAGAAATTAAACCTTTCACGTCTAGGGCGAAGGCAACTTCGAATATGGCTAGGTGTTTCTAAATCTAATGAATGCGGAATTTTGTATGTAAAAGACTAGTTTTTAGAAAAAGAGAAAGAGAGAGATGGATGAATGAATGATCAAGAAAACTTGATGAGAAAAGAGAATGAGAGACTTAACGATTGCGAATGAAAACTGATTCTAGGTCAATATTAATTAAAACCGATTGTTGATGAGAATTTGTGAATGAAAACTGGTTTTAAAATAAGACATGATGAAATCTGGTTATCAAAAACGGAGTTTTTAATACGTTATTTATAGAAAAATCAGCCAAAAAGATAAAATTAACAAAAAAGAGTCTGGCGCACGCAAAACGAGATTAGCGCCAACCATAGGCCATTGGCGCCAGGCGCCAACGTCAGCTCCAGGCGCCAATGCCTGGCGTAAGGGGTCAATCTTGTTTTTGACGCGTTTTCTAAAATCTGATAAATTTTGCCGTACAAGAGGATAAAATCGTATATTTTCCTCAAAAATACTCTTTGATTTTAATTTAAACTCTGAAAAGTCAATAATAGTCAATTTATCAATGCTAATTGAATTAGGAATGAAAAG